TTTGGTTGAAAGCAAAGGCATAAATGATGAGACAATCCATAAATTAGAAGCCACAGTTGTGCAAAGGATGCGGCTCATTAAAAGAATAAGTAATAAACATCAGGGCATGAAGGAATGTAGTATTCTCTGGCTTATCCACTTCTTCGTGCTCAGCCACATTACTAATGTCGCTGCTTACCATCGATGGTTCGCGGCGAAAAGAGCTAAACTCAACGCACTCATCAGACGAGTTCACAAACAGGCGCTAGGGCTTCGGCACAGTACCAGCACCGAACTTCTTCTTAAACTAGGCCTTCATAACACGGTTAAAGAAATAATTGAAGCTCAACAGATCTTGCAGTACGAGCGCTTGAGCAATACAAAAGCAGGTCGCCAAATTCTCGACAGTCTCGGCATTTCTTACCACGCACAGCATGGTATGAAATGCGACATACCACGCGAAATCTGCGCTAAACTCATGATACTACCATTGCCAAAGAACATGCACCCTGATCATAACAAAGGTAGAAGAATCAGTAGAGCCAAAATTATGCTCCGAACTTATGGAAGCAATAAGGAGGCGGTCTTCGTTGATGCAGCGCGCTATCGAAACTATTACCGTTTTGTTTCTGCGGTTGTAGACCATACGCACAAATGCATAACCAGCGCTTCAATCAATACAAATCACAAGGATACAGCAGAGAAGGTCACTATCGCAGTCGCCATAGCTCACACCGATGCCCAGTATACAGTTGAGCCCACATATAACGGCCCCACTTAAATTGAACTTGCGCTTAGAACGAACAATATCCGCGTGACCGTGAAAATATACATTGGTTCAATGACACAAGATCGCATTTACAATGAACGTCTCCGAGCGCCGCTGATTGGTTACAGCGAACGGCCTACTTCCTGGGAAACCACTTTCGACTACCGATCAGGCATCGGCGAGGTGCTCATACATTCTTGTTGTTAAACGCCAGACCCTGCCTCCGCGACCCTCTAGTTGCCGCTCTCCCCGACCCATGGAGGAAGGAAAGCTGTTTCCTTCCTCCATGTCCCGTCCGCTTTTTGTTACGCCTCCCTCCGTGCTTTGTCCCCTTCCCCCCCCGCTACTCTGAGCACACCGCATCGCCAGACGGGACCCGTGTTTTCACACTGCCACCGATCTTTCCAAGATGGGTCGGCCATCTCCCCTGTTTTCGATCGATGGTACTGTCGTTGGCGTCGCCGGCCTGGAGTGACCAGACCATTTGCCTACATCGTCGGCCACCGACTGTATTGGATAGTCTGCGTCTAGTGCACGTGCGTACGCTACCCCACCAACTATGATAATTCGCAATTCGTTTCGTGTTTAGGACTTGTTCTCGCTCACTTCATACTCAGCTCAGCAGCCTTCCGCGTGAGTGCAGAAGCGCGAAAACGGCTTTTAATTCGCGCGGAATGAAGTGCGGAATGAAGCGCGAAATATCGAAGTTCGTGAGGCCACGCAAACCCGCCGGCGCAACAAGACGATTTTTTGACTGCAATCGCCGATTCTTCAAACACCGGCGCGCGCACCGAACCAGGCGGCCGTGCTTTAACTTCTGCGCGCGTAGGCACTCTTTCCAAGTCTTTTTACGGGGATGAGTTTCGCGGACCTCTCAAGCAAGCTACCCAACCTGCCTCCTTCCCGTGTGTTTTGGTTTTCAAGGTCGCCCTCCCGCCGCATCCTCCCCTCTCTTTATCGCAACTCCTTGCCCTTTTTTCGCAAATCTGCTCTCCTCTCTTGACAACCCCTTCGCCCAAGGAGGAAGGAAATGCCTTCGCCCGTCTCCACCGCACCGCGACGCCCGCCACGCTGGCTCGAATTAGTTTCGTTTTCTGGTTAAAAATGGGCCCAGAGCTGTTCGACGCATTCTGGCATGTGTGTCGCGTGCGTGCGTCTTGCTCGCTCTTGGTGTGCGTGTGTGGTCATGATGGCCGACGGGAGGACTAGCACGCTTTTTCCTGCAACTCAACAAAATGTCGAAAGTGTGACTGCTTGGCTTGAGCGTAATCCGCGCGTTAGGTGCCGCGTTGCGGAGCGCTTGCTCATAGCTGTTGACCACCTGGCAGCCAATTTGCCGCTTCGGGCGTCCCGGTATTCGGCTGTAAAGATAGTGAATATTTCGTGGGGGACGGGGACGGCTACATGCGCGCGAAACTGTTTTCGCGAGGCCGACTTTGTCGACGTCGAACCCGATGCCGAGCCTGAGGCTTCCGAACAGGACCACTGCGGCGGCGATGTGTGGCAGCGCGTCATCAACTCCGACCTGGGAGAGCGGGTGGGACATCTGTTGCGATGGTTTAATTACAGCCGATGATGATGCCGACACTGCGGAACCGTGCACGGATTGGGGCATTGTGAATGAAATACGTGGCGAGAGTGATTTGAAGGAATGGGATTGCGAGAACGACGAAACTTCGGAGCCAGTGCCTCATGCAGCTTATGCCATGGGCCTCGGTGAACGAGCACCTTGCCGTTTTAAATGAACTCTAGACCGCCCTTATCGCTTCTGCTCTTCAAAACACGTGCATCACGGACTTTTTGGGGCAAGAAAAGTTTGTGTTATCACTCGCAATTTTTTTTAAAAGCTGTGTTTCATTTACTACGAACTTCGGGATACAGCGAACGGATGCCGCGTCACGCTCAGGTTCGATATAAGCGGGCTTGACTGTATTATCAGTGATTCACAAACAGCAGTCCGAAATTTCGCAAATGGTAGGATTTCTCCAGTGGCGCTGAAAGTCCTTACAAAAGGCGAAACCCGCTCTGACGACTAGATTGCATGCATTCTCTGGTTTCCCGCCCACACACCCGTCGACCACACGGAGGTCAATCTTAACGAGGTGGCGCACGACGTGACTCGAGGTCTCACAGTTCCGGGCAACATCAGTGGTTGGCACCACCCGTACAGACTCTCTTGTGGAGGAGTGGGAGTGGGGGGATAGACTTACCAAATTCAATGACATTATCTAACAATGTAGACTTCAACGATGGGAATACTCCCCGCCTCATCCCAAGCTCAACCGGGCCCAGTCCGTTCAATGGCGGCAATTACAAACAGGCACCTACACTAATCCCGTAATTATGAAACACATTTACCTCGACTTGTACGTGACCAATTCGTGCAAGTATTGTAGTAATAGGGCCACATTAGTCCATATTCTCTGGGAGTGTACAGCACTAATTGGCAAAACGAGAGACTCGGCCTCCAATGAGAACCTACGGGAGCGTTGGCGGACCGCGCTGCTCAGCTCAGGACTAGATAATCAACTGTGGGCGATCCAGTAGGCCAAAGAAGCTGCTGAGAGACATGGTCTCTCAACCAGCTGCTAGGTGGGAACCTAGCCCGGTAACCTGCAGGAAGTGAATAAAGTTCACTCATGGTCAGAGAACGCTGCCGATCGGTAGTAGAGGCTCCCGACAACAAGTGAGCCAAATATTATAGCATGGCATGCGGCCTGGAATTCCCAATAAATTATCAAGGTCAGCTGAAAATTGCTTTCTCTTCTTTCGACGAATCACAGAATATGCCGAAAAATCACACGTGAACTACCTATCTATCAGCCATTGGCTGATTTGAACATGGGGCGCTTGCTCGTTACAGAGATTGCCGCGAGAGGCTGCTACTTGTGCACAGGTGCGCGCCTGATCACACTGAAAAAGCGGTGCATTCGAAAAAAAAAAAAGAAGAAAAAAAAAAGTGCTCATGGTCCCGAGGCTCGTGTGACGTTTTTCTGTGGCCCTGCCATCCGTCGCTGCTTAGCTTCCAGCGCTTTCGTCGGGGCAAGAGAAGAGAGAATGCAATTGCAACGATCGACAAACCTTTGTAACTCCACTCGCACTGGACGGATTTTTAAAATTTTTGCGCCGTTGAATTCATGAGCCAATATTCTCTTACAATGAATTAGTTCCATGGTTACTTGAAAAAGCGTTTCAGGGCCCCTTTAAATGAATGGACTTGCGAAAACGCTGCCTCAAGCCTACACGTCAGAGGTGGCAGCTTTTTTTAGTGCCATTTAGGACCAGAAAGGCTGAAAAAAATCGAAAAAATATTTTCCACATTCGACATTTCAGATCTTTTTATACATTGTTTAGCAACTTAGCAAATTAGCAACTCCAAATTCGAAGGAAGCACAATGTTGTCTGCCAAATCGGATGGGCCTAGAAAGAAGTCGAAGAGGTGGAGGAAGTAGTGTCATTTCCTTTCAAGTGTAAAGTGCTGTCGACACCACACTGAGTGCACCAAATCATGTAAATAAATACAGTTCGGTCTCGGCATCGCCTCATCCTTGTTAAACAATTAGGGAACACCATCCCTCTGGCACTCCACCAACCAAGCCAAAAGAAACACTTTCAGATTCCTACCTTATAAGAATGTTCTTAGAGATCCTCTGCTACCTTTGTTCTGTAATTTCACTTGGAACTATTGGGAAAATGTTGAATAAAAAATATTGGACAACTATTAAAAAATATTCAATTTTCACTCAAACTTTATTATTCGAATTCGCTTTGCACCAAGAATATTGCCATTTCCACAACTCTACAAAACAGCTAATGCTTCATTGAAATATTTTTTTGAATAATCAGCACACATGGCAAAACCTATTAGCAGCATGTATAACTCCTCAATATCTTCATATTATAGTTTAAGTTTACTTTATTCAAAACAGTGCAAGATACCACAGGACCTTTCGTATCTGTGCAAGCATGAGCGAGCCTCTTTGAGTGAATCAAGCTGAGTAAAAAGCAACAATGTATTGATTAAGTGAACGTGAATGAGTTGACCTATGACGCATGTTTATTTATAAATTATTTTGAAACCTGAAGCCAATGAGTGACTGTTGCAATTGTGTTGCTTCGACTATACGAGTTGCCTTAATTTTCAGTCCTACATTTTTATTTTTATTTTGGTTCGAACAGTATTTTTTTCTGTGAATACAATTAAGCTGGTTCTTAAGAGACAGTACGTGTGGCTCGAGTGCAGCCACCTCACCGCTTGAGCAAGGTCGAGGCCTGTCTTGTCCCAAGGTCGATGCACGGCATTGCGGCAGGCCTTGGCGAGGCCGTCCTGTCGCCACAGCACCACCTGGCGGCCACAGTAGAGCAGCCTGCAGGGGTTGCTTACCCAGTGGCACCGCTCGGCAAGTGTGCTTTCAGCTTCGTTGCCCCCACAAGAGCGCAGAGGCTCAGTCACCTGGTAGGGCAGGCCCGGCCTGCAATGCACAGCCCAATTTATGGTCAATGCTTCCGTTTCAAGAGAAGCTGCTTGAATGCTAAGGATTCTGCTGGCATTTTGCAGTAAATATACACTGCTATAGGCTGGATCATGCCTAAATAACGACGATAATATATTACCAATAATAATTGCTAGGATATACCATCTCAAAACCACAGTATGATTATAAGAGAAGCGGTAAAGGAGGACTGGAAATGCGAAGAGGTTTATTAGTAGTGAACGACAACGGCAAGACAGCGTGATGGACTGTCCAGCCATCACGCTGTCTGTGACATGCACGCACTAAGTTTGCGAAGAAGCACGTTCAAAGCAGTGATCATTGTCATAGTGTATGACTGAACAAAATACCTGACGTTTCAAAAAACTGCCTACCCTCGAGCGCAAGATCAGCTCCAGGTGAATAGCATATTCCACCGCACAAGTGAAGAGTGTGATGTAGGATTTCTGGGTTGGCTCACTCTTCAAGTACACTGATGGTTCCATGAAATCTGATCCAATAATGTCAAATGGTTTTGACACATTCACACGATCAGCAGGTAGCGCCGCCATAGGAGCCCTCGCAAGCTTCATCCTTGATTGCGCGCACCAAGCACACTGCCCGATAACTTTTTTTTACACACTTTTCCCCTTCGTCACTCAAAAGCACCCTCGAGTTCTGTGATGGTTGTTGCGACTCCCGAGTGAAGTGGCCTCCGATGCAAGCCCGTTACGATGAGTTCAGTTGCGACGTGGCCACCGAAAAGCAGGATCGGGTGTGTAATGCCTTCGTAGTGCATGACATTCTGAAGTCCTGTTTGAATTCACAGCAAGCCATCATCCTCGGCAAGAAGGGGGTCCAAAAGACTGGCTTCTTGGGCTGGCTAGTATTACATTTTCAAAGAAATATACTTTCTCAGTGCACAGGAAACATTTCAGAAAGAAGACAGACAAAATAGGTGCTCTATTCTATCCGTCTTCTTTCTGAAACGTTCCTTGAGCAATAAGATAGTATATTTCTTTCAAAAAAGAAAGGGGCGAAAATCCCGAATCGTCAAAGTGTTGGGCTGATTTCGTCCTGCCTGGAGGACTGTCAATTCAAGGCCGAATCGTTGCTTTTAGGTAATGGTGTCTACTTCTGAATTCTCTTTCGCATTGTCTTCCACATCACTTCGGTTGATAGTCAAGTGCTTGAGCCATTCTTCATCTCTTGCCAACCAAGGTGGTCTTCGGCACCAATTTTCCCTGTCAGAAAGAGACTTTGTTGACGTGCCTTGGAAAACTATGTCCGTAGGGTTCTCCTTCCAAGCGTAGCAAAGTCACTTGACCACTTTTCCCTTTGTATCTTTGATCACAGAACTCATTAGTTTCATTGAAAGCACTGGAAACCTTTTCGTCGTGAGAGGATGGTTCATCTGCATTCGTGGTCCCCAAGCTTTCTAGCTGCCAAAACTTCCTCAGTTCGGGGCCTGCACGTTCCTGCATCTGATCCTCGTTCATGCAGCAATTTGTTTGACGTACACAAACACTTGCGTTTGTGTGTGGATAAATTGCTTCACCGTTTAGGGGCCCTTGGAAGGTCGAACCAAGTGCAGTTTCAATGAAAAGAAGACGTTTGTAACCATCAGGCGAAGTGACATCTCTCTCAAGGATCTTACACAATTGGTCTGATCCAATTAATACGCTGATGTCTTCTTTTTGTGCTATGTGAGAAAAGCAAAGTGCATTAGCCACTCGTTGACCGCTATTCTAAAGTCCTTTGTTGAATTTAAGACCTTTGGGTACCTGAACAATGGCTTCACAGATGTGCTCTATTTCAATGGCTTCAATGACATGCTGAACATCATCGTACTGGCTTCACAAGGTTACTTGAACTATTCTTCAACGCGTACGTTGACCACCATGTTTGGTCTCAAACACGTTGACGGTTATGACGATTTCTCCCAGCACCTGTAGGTTAATTTTTTTGGAAACGTCTTTTTTTTTTATAAAAGAGATTTGGCTACCGTTTATCCAGAATGCTTCTTATATAGCAGGAACTCTTTGCGCTATTTATCCATCCTCTTAATGTTTGCAATAATATTGTATTGAAGTTCCTATTGCTATCTGACACAGCGTACGCTGCGTGTTGTTCGAGCAGCTTTAGCAGCCTTTCTAAAACACATCGAAAGAGCATGTCTTCCTTGACAATGCTTCTTCTGAAATGCAATGGCTGCCGTTTCTTCATTGTCCTTTTAATATTTCTCTTGCTCTTGTGAAACGACCTTGATGTTCTTCAATCAGGTGCTTGTTTGCACAGACATGAGGACAGCATGACTACTGAATCTGGTGTCTTTGGCGTGAAATATTTCTCAAAATCTGGCGAGTTTTCTTTTAGAATTCCAAAGGCTTACCATCTTTTTATCCTGGAAGTACCTTCCAGAAGGTACACTTGAGTTGATAGAGCTGTATTTTCAATAGCTTCACAAGCTCTGAATGTTGAATCAGCTTCCGAATGCCTGAAGGATTCTTACCAAGTTGACATAGTTCTTCGGTGTTGTTCTTTCGAATGGTCGCATTTGTGTTGGCAATGTTAGTTTGTTGAGTATGCTCCTCCATTTGTGTTGAGATAGACTCCTCTGGTTTCCATTCAACAAGATCACCGTTGAATATGTAATGCTTATACTGTGGTGACATAGGCAAAGAGAGCATTTCCTTCTGTACTTCCGTTCTCATCCGTTATCTTATGGAATCCAAGTGAGCCTGCCAAACCTTTAATTCGTCTTCAATGCTATACACTGCTTTCACTCTTGCTAGAATAACCCGGCATTCATAAACGACAGCTTCTTCCACCTCCGCTTCCAAATTATCGATGTCAACAGTGTTTTCAATCTTCTTATCGATTCCTTTGAGAAGCTCATACTGTTCGGTGAAAATGCGGTGAATATCACACAACTCACATATTCGTGGGCGATCCAATTGCTGAAAACATTCGATGTCTGTGATGACCTGCGTGACGGCCTTGCACACTTGACTCCGCCTTTCGAACAGGGCCTCCATGATCCGGTCCAACGTACAAACATTAGAAATCACTGGCCGGCCGCGTCACGAGGCGAAGTCGAAGACAACATGCACAACGTCAATGAAGATCTGGGCATCGTGAAGATGTCATGCCCCACGATCTGGGTCATTGGTATGGTTAGGCCTTGCACATCAGCCTTACCCACCGTGGCTTCCCAAAAGTCCTTGAGGCTAGGGATCCGGTCGAAAATAGTGAAGTTCACTCAGTCTCACCTCTGAAGGTCTTTTCTCTCGGGTTTCGTGGCACCAAAACATTGAGGAAAGGACGAGTCGCCATTCCCATGGCGAAGCGCACTGTCGACCTCTTCATCTTCCAGCACGCGCTATGTTCACTGTTTTTAACACAGCGCTCATCGAATTCGCGGCGGTGGCATAACAAAAGGGGTGGTTGACTTAAAATTCAATTGTCCCGTAAAATTCAACAATAAAGATTGTTCACGCAAAAGGGCGAAATAGTGAATGCAAAAGCAATGTGTCATAATGTTATAACGAACTAAGGCCAGCAGGTAACTCTTTTTCATGCAATCTCGTGGAGCTGTAAAACGACGGTGTAAGGGACGGCCACCTGCGGCTTGTCGTATCATGGGTGACAGAGCACAGAGTGGTGAGATTACTATGTAGCACGTAGAAGGGTATACAAGCCGCTTTCTGATGCCTGCTGAGATACAATCGAACCCATTACTAACAAACTCAAACAAACTCAAAAATGCCACGATGAATAGTCATTACATCAGTAGTTCTTTGTACATGGACATCCCCATAAGACCTTCCACTTATGGTGAAACCGCTTTTTTTTTTTCCTTCCTTGGTACCTTTATTCAAAAGTGTGAACAACCCCTCCGCAGACAAGTTAGGCCCTTTTGCATGTCAGACGACGTCCGCTTGCTCTTGAGTGAATTCAACCACGTTTGCAATGAACTCACGCCGTTCCACTGAAGTACGGTACCGTCACAGCGAAGCAATTATCCCTGGCTAGTTGCGTGCAGCACTCGGCTTACTCGGCTTACGTCGCTTACTCGGCTTTCGCCTTCGCATGCCAGTTCGCTTGCAGTCCAATGTATGCGCGCGTTTGTGCTTTCTTCGCACTTGCTTCACTTGGGATTCTGCTCGGATGTGGCGAGTAGCCTGTTTGTTTGAGGTAGGTCACCACCTTCAAAAGCGCATTCTCTGTTTTAGGAGAATATTTTTAACACACATGATTTTTTCCAATACACATGTCCTAGACGTGAAGCTTATCTTTGAAAAATATGTGTGTTTGAAATATTCTCCTAGAACAGAGAAGCCTTTGTTGCAGTACGCTTCCGCCCATTCAGGGATAGTAAAACATGGGATAGCAATGGGGTGCTTCAACTCAGCTCCATCAAAAACATGCAAGCACAAGTTAAAGGATTCTTACCTAGAGCAGAAGAAAAAACTGGAAAAAGCTGGATACCCTAACTCGTCTCTTTTAACTGCATGTGAAAGGTTATTAAAGAAAATGAAATCCAGGGAGCCAGAGGAAAGAAGCCAAGATGCAAAGAAGCCAAGATGCAAAGAAAGTTTCGGTAATTCCCTACATGCATGGTGTCAACTAATATTCTCGGCAAAGGACAGAATAACGGGAGTGTGTCCGGCTGTATATAATCTGTACGAAAAAAGGACATAGGATACCGGTAGCACATGTCTCAAGCGTGCAGATCATCAGGTTGTCCAGTTCAAAAGAAATGTAGTGTATAAGACTCCTTACAGTTTAATCATATGGTGGTTTTGGGACGTTAAACCCCACATATCAATCAATCAAGACTCCTTACAGTTGTGGGCACTGTTACGTCGGTCAAACTGGCAGATGCTTGAACGTGAGGTTGAAAGAGCACTTGAATAACTTGAAGGGAAGGCCGGAGACGCATCTAGCATTGCATTGTGAGTGTTGCTCTTTTAGTACATGTAAACCCTTGTTTAATC